GAGAGCTTACGCTTCATAACGATCTAGTCAGATTACAGTCACGTAGACGTGAAGGAGAAAGGAAGCGACAGTACCATCAGATCCGGAGAATGTGCAAAGGGTCGGGAAGCAAGGGGCTTCCAAGGTTGATAAATTCGAGATCTCGTAATTTCAGAAAGCTGCAGGTCTGACACTGGAATGTAAAAGTATTGAGGGCTTAATTGGATCCCGAGTTGCTTGAAGGAAATAAATTGGAGCGGATGGGTTTCTCCGACTCCGCGTCTCCAGGTATAACGGCGATTGTCGACTACCCTTTCAACACAATTGTCGATATTTTACCTTTATTCTCGTCTGCGTCAACTCTGGTCTTTTTAGTTGTGAATTTATATGAAAGTCTCAAATGATTTTTACATCCCGATGGGCTTGACGCAGGAAGTCGCGCAAGTCAGGTGAACAACTCACTGATAAGACCTAAATGCCAATATTCTATTCCAATTGTCTATACTCCATACGTAGTACTTAAGAAGCAAGAAGCCATAATTCCCAGCAAGATACCTCAATTGGTGGACTCTTACAGCGCAATTAGTTGCCGAGTGGGGAGCTCCCGAGACCGGCTACTTTTCTTTTTTCCCTTGACTCACGCGATTTGACTCAGAGGATCACCACTTATAAAGAGTGGCTACTAGTCTAGCAATTGTCCTGGACAAGACTCACATATGATTCCAGCAACTCAATCCGCCAGCATGGCCACCTCCCTCGCCCGCATGCTCAAGGGCCAAGTCCGATGCTACTCCGCACCGCTGGACATGGCCATTCCGGCCTCCAAACAGCGCTACATCCCCACGACTGGCTCCTACCCCAAGGGCTTCCGGGTATCCGGTACTCATGTGGGCGTCAAGGCCTCCAATACGCGCTTCCCGGATCTGGCATTGATCGCCTCCGATACACCATGCTCGGCCGCCGCAGTGTTCACAACCAACAAGTTCCAGGCTGCGCCAGTGCAAGTCAGCAGGAAGACCCTGCAAAGCCGCAAAGGCAATGGAATCCGCGCTGTCGTGATCAACTCAGGATGCGCCAATGCCGTCACCGGCAAGGGCGGCCTAGAGGACGCCGTGCAGATGGGAAGAAAAGTAGATGAGTGCAGCGGTGTCGAGAACGACAGCTCACTTGTGATGAGCACCGGCGTTATTGGACAGCGGTAGGTCACTTCTACTCAATTGAATAACCAACCCCAAAAAATCACCCATAACTAACCAAACAAACCACCCACCAGGCTCCCGATCTCCAAGATCCTCGACCGCATCCCAACAGCGCACTCAACCCTCGCATCCACACACGAGGCCTGGCTCACCACAGCCCGCGCAATCTGCACAACAGACACCTTCCCCAAGCTCATTTCGCGCACCTTCACCCTCCCCTCCTCCCCAGACCGCACCTACAGCCTCGCAGGTATGACCAAAGGCGCCGGCATGATCCACCCGAACATGGCGACGCTTCTCGGCGTTCTCTGCACTGATGCAGCGGTCGAGCCCGCGGCGCTGCAATCGATCCTGAAACACGCCGTGTCGCGATCCTTCAACTCGATCTCCATTGACGGCGACACCAGCACGAACGACACAATCGCTGTGCTGGCGAACGGCGCTGCAGGCGGCGAGACTGTGCGCGCGCCGGCCGCGTCTGCCAGTGCCGACTACACCGCGCTGCAGGGCGTTGTGACTGATTTCGCGCAGGAGCTGTCGCAGCTGGTCGTGCGGGACGGCGAGGGCGCTACTAAGTTTGTTACTGTGCGCGTGCGCAACTCACCCGATTATGAGTCTGGGCGACAAATTGCTTCGACTATTGCACGCTCGCCGTTGGTTAAGACTGCTCTCTACGGCAAGGATGCTAACTGGGGCCGAATTCTTTGTGCGGTGGGTTATACGCAGGGTGTTGCCGAGGGAACTATTGTTCCTGAGCGCACTTCTGTTAGCTTCCGTCCAGTCGATGGAAGTGAGATTCTGAAGTTGTTGGTTAATGGTGAGCCTGAGGCTGTTGATGAGAAGCGGGCTGCTGCTATTCTGCAGAATGAGGATCTTGAGATCGAGGTTGACCTTGGTGGTGGTGAACAGGGGGCTGCTGGGTGTGGTGGTGAGGATGCTGTTTATTGGTTCTGTGACTTCAGTCACGAGTATGTGACTATCAACGGTGATTACCGCACTTGAAAGAGATGTATCTTAGCGGTAGTGGAAACTGATGAACCGAGGAAGTCATTTCGGGATTAAAGGCCTTTTGAGGGCGAGGATGTCCTGTTACGACGAGGAACTGTTGAAATAACTATTACTAGGAACAGGTTAGGATCATGGCAGGTTGAATATATGATTTTGGTTTTTCTAGACACATATGGTTACAAGACCCTAAACAGGGTACTTTTCATCGCTGAGCACCGTCTATGGAGTAATATTAGACCCATATTCCTTTACACATTGACGACATAGGACGATAACATATTGTGTCAACGTGCAGAGGCCCCCGGAGAGGGGAGCTCGGATGTTCATCGGCAGGTTAATCAACCTGCACGACTGAATACCAAGCGGTATAGTTCCAATTCAACCAAACAGACAGCGCCGATCCATTCACCCAAAAAGTATAAATAAGAGCGGACAGTAAAAAAAAGACAGAAAAGTAAACAGAGAGGTTTCAAAGGACCGGTGTGATCCTATGCCATGCTACTCGTGAAGATACGGGCAGTCTCGTTTAGCTGCCGGGGACGAGGCCCTTGAGGCCAGCGCCAATGTCACCCTCGCGGGCGGCAATTTCGAAGTAACCATAGATGATGCTGTATTGAGTTATTAGCTGAGATGAACACGATTGAGAAATCAGGAAAATCACTTACGTAACGGCAAGAAGAATACCAGTACCGCTGCCCAGAGCACCCATAAGGTCGGAGGCGACAGACAGACCACCAATGCAGGCACCACCGAAAGCAGCGGCAGTAGGGATAACGCGCTTCAGCTCCTTGTACATGCTCTGCTCACGGTGACCAGACATGACGAGACCCTGATCCTTGAGCTGCTTGGCAACGTCACGGGGAGCGGAGCCGGAAACCTCAATCCAGGTCTTGGAGAAGAGGGCGCAGGCGACAAGCATGAAGGTGATGTAGACAGCGGTGTGGATGGGGTCAAGAAGAGCCTCTTTGAAGTTGAGAGGAGGGGACATGTAGTAAGCAATACCCGAGGCGGCGTAAAGCTGAGCAGATCCCTCACGGGGCTCCCAAACTCCGAGAAGCTGGACCAGGATGTTCTCAGAGAAGCGGGAGTACAGCATCTGACTGATAAGGAAGATGTTGGAGCACAGAGCGGACTGGAGCATGATGGGCATGTTGGAGGTGTAGAAGAGGCGAACGGGGTATGAGCCGCGCATGCCACGCTGGCGGGAAGACTTGACGGGGATCTCAACACGGAAGCCCTGCAGGTAGATGACAGCGGCGAAGACAAGAAGAGTAGCCAAGAGGTTCATAACGTTGGGCAGGTTCTGGCGGTAGAACGCCTCGTACAGGGCGCGCTGCTTATCGGGCCAGGTTAGGAGAAGGTGGAACAGAGCGATGATAGCACCCTCGAACTCGGGGCCACGGCCGGTGTTGATGGTCGTGGGGGAGAACGCCTTCCAGACAATGGACTCGCAAATGTTTGTGGCAATGAAGAGGGAGATACCGCTGCCCAGACCGTAGCCCTTCTGGAGGAGCTCGTCAAGCAGAATAACAACAAGACCAGCCACAACCAGCTGGACAATGAGGAGAACACAGATACCGGCACCAAGGTCACTGGGCTGGCCGTAGAGACCAGTCAGGACGTAGACACAGGCCTGGCCGAAGGAGAGAATAATGGCGAAGAGCTTCTGGGCGGTCTGGTAGAGCTCGCGGTCGGTCTTCAGGTCGAGGTTGACATCAATGAGGTGGGTACCAGCAAGGAGCTGGAGAACAAGGTGTGTCAATACAATTATCGCGAATAATTATAGGAGAGTGTTCTAGAATCGCATACCTGGAAGACCATGCCGGAGGAGATAATAGGGGTGATACCCAGTTCCATCAGAGTACCCCGGTTACTGGCCAGCATCATACGGAGCCAGTACAGGGGGTCCGAAGTGTCGGAGGAGACAATGCCGTAAAGAGGCATCTGACTCATGACCAAGAAGATCATCAAAGTCAACTGCAACATAATTCCATTAGAATTCAAGCCGACTTCGCGCGGAGATAGGAGATCCGGGGCGACATACACCAGTCCACATCAACTTCTGGTTGAAGGGCACCTTGGTCTCAGGCGCTGCCACCTCCGGGAGGAGGGGCGTAAAGGGCTTGATCAAGTCAAGGAAGCGTACTAAGTTCCTCCATCAGCATTTGACGATCAATTGAGGGCGATTCGAAACGGATTGTCGCGACGTGCGAGACGACGGTTCGGGGGACTCACGGCCGCTCATGGTGGCTATCTTCCTCCCAATCCGTTAAAGAAGTAAAGAAAGCTGGAGTCGAAAACCAGCTAAAGGAATGGAAGTGAAATATTAAGAGAAATAAAACAAAAAGGAGAAAAAGTGAAGTTGTTGAGAAGATGGGGGAGGAGGAGGGAAGAAGAAGACAGAAGTTCGCTGGCCACTTTTCGCTTCCGCGCTAATTAAGGCCACTTGGTCTTCGCCGCAACAACCAACTTGGTGAGTCAACCAAAAAGGTAACTGGATATTTGAAGATAACTGCACTGATATGAGCTCCAATTCAATTCTCCGGACTTTTTTACTTGCTAACCTTTTCAAGTTCGATGTGTTGTGCACCCCCCAAAAATCGGGCTCCAAGCTATCCCCACATTCCAGAGGCCACGGTACTAAACTACGCGATCGGTACGGCCCCGGCTACACAGCTGAGGGTCTACATATGGGGTAACTAGTTGGAATAATATTGGCGTCCAGGCTTAAATAAATGTTTCAACTGCTTTGTTCTCCAAAATATATGCCAGCATACTATAAAGAGTATAATATTTCCATAAGAAAATCTAGTTTCAAGGTCCAACGAGACCTAGACAATCATCAATGACAACCTCGAGCTCTCCCAGTCGTGTCTTCAGACCCCGATTCTCATCTTGCAAAATACCCATCACACTCCAGGCCTCGGAAGCGGGTACGCCATAGCAGATGTTACAATTGGACGTGTTGCCGTTACCAGCGAAAGAGCTACCTAAACGCGTTGAAGCAAGACCCTTCAACACCCGATCATATGCCGACGAGCGTGCAGGAGGTGGTGCACTTGTGACCGCGACCAGGTTCTTCTGGATTGTAGGTGTTGGCATCGGCCCTGTCGGCGTAGACAGGGCGATCTGCGACATGTTGGGAGACGGCGCTGTCAGCGTGGAGGTGGGAGACTCGAGACCCTCACGCTGAGAGAAGACGCTGTCGGCAACGCTCTCATCACCGGACTCGAAGCCCGAGTCGCTGGTGAAGGTGCTGTGGCTAGCACGCTTGCCTCCCCGCCGAGGGGTTTGGAGTGCCATGGAAGGCACGTCGTCATCAGGATTCACGGTACGGATTGCGCCACTGCGATGGCGGGATTCCTCGTTCTTTCGCATTTGTCTTTCTTGTTCCAATTCCTCGGCCATGGCCTGCATGGCTTTTTCTTGATCAAGCACCTTGGCGGCCACGCCGTCTAGCTGCATCTTAAGGTGATCGACTCTAGCGCGAGTCTCTTCGAGCTCCTCTTGCTTTTCATTCTTGTCGACCAATGCCTGGTGCATGGCGAAAGTGCGCTGCTTATAGGCCTCCTGCATGCGCCGTAGCACTTTGTCGGCATGATCTCGTAGGGCATACAGTGCTTCCTCGTTGGTATCATCGGTTTCGGGTAGTGAAAGAGCGGCAGTGATGTCCAGGTTCAAAAACTCATCGTCTGCTGGCTCCGGGAAGTTAGGTTTGCTCGGTTGTCGCCGGAGGCCGAAGAATGAAAACCGATTCGTTGGGGTGGAGTTCTGCCTCGTATGTGACATGGATGTTGGGGCTGGACGGGAATCCAATCCGGTCACATCTGAAGCACTGTTGGTGCTCATTTTCAGTCCCAAATCTACTGGATCCGATTTCCCCTGAAACCAATCTGACAAGACCCTGGCTCTGGCTTCAAGCTTCTTCTTCGGGAAGGTGTCGGTCCAAGCAGTAGTTTTCGGGGCTGATATCGTGTCGTTGGTGGCCTCTTCAAAGAGTGGTGGCCTTGCAATATATTCGGTGTTTGCCCGACGATGTGTAGGCGGATTGTTAAAGTGATTTCGTGAGGTTAGATGGAGCGCCGATCTTGGGGGAGTCAAGGCAACGGTCTCGCGAGGTGGCGTGCCATCGGAATGCAGGGTGACAGGTGCGTGAGAGAGATCGAGAGACATGTTCTGAGGGGGGTATTCGACAGGAGAAGCAGACAGAATGGAAATGCCACGTCGATTCGAGCCTAATGTGGCGTTGGTGTGCAACCTTGGGGGGATTTGCAGTAGGGGAGGTATGTAGGCTAATCAAGGACGAAACAGACCCCTGGGATGTATTCGAGGTCAAACGAAAAGGAGTGTAGTGGTTTCAATGAAGAATTCGTGTTTCAGAGTGTCGAGTCTTAATTTTTTGAGAATTTGAAACGGAAAAGAACCCCCAAAAAGAATTGGCGATAATAAAACAAGAGGCTGGGGTTATTGAAATAGCGGTGGCTGAATGGCCTGGAGCTCTCTCCACCTCGATCCACCACATCTTCCTTTCCAATTCGATTAATTATAGGAATTGGTCTCCCACTAGACTTCTTTCGAGTTTGATACCGTCATATTTTCCCGCTCCCGCTGTGCATGGTTTCAGCTGCACGAGGATCTGCGTCATTGCACGTTTTCTGCAAACTCCCAGCGTCATGGCTCCCGGTCTGAAGCATTTATCCAATGCTCTAGCAACGCCCGACCAACTGTCGAACTCTTCGTCATCAATCGACAATGTCCCATCTGACCTTGAAACCTCCATTCGCTGCGCGGGTGCCCAACTCACTCAAGCTGCCGGGGTTCTCCTACACCTATCGCAAGACATAATTTCCCAGGCGGTTGTGATATTCACGCGTTTTTGGCTTGGCGCTGACGGCGGTAGCTTGCGAATCTACTCAGTCAAGGTAAGACTAACTCCAGGAACTCTGAATCTTTTTTTTCTGATCCACTAACCCGAGCAGGATGTATCCGCCGCAGCCTTGTACCTGACGGCTAAGCTTTCCTTCCAACCAACCTCCCCACGCTCCGTCCTCAATGTCTACACATTCCTCCTGTCACAAGATGCATCGCCCTTGTGGTTTGTGCGGCAGAGCGGGGCTCCTGAGACCCCTCCATCCCCCGAAACCTATATACTCTCCGAGGGAGGCTACCAGTCCGCCCGGCTAGTCCTCCTTCGCACCGAAACCATCATCCTCCGTACTCTCGGCTTTGATACACATGTCGCTCTACCACATACCATCGCTTTGACATATCTTCAAACTTTGGGTGTGATAAAGCCCGCTGTGGCTCAACGGGTCATTCAGCACCTCAATGCGGCACTGTTCTCACCCCAGCTTCTTTATGTCACTCACCAACCAAATGCCCTGGCCGTGGCTGCCATCTACCTCGCTTCACGCGAGGAGGAGGTTAAGCTTGTAGATGGCGAGTGGTGGGAGGTCTTTGATGTTGATCGTGAAGAGCTGGGCTTTTTGGTTGTAGGCATGAAAAGTACAGAAGGCTTTATGCGGGCGGAGGTCAATCGGTGGAAGAACAAAGCTATTCCCATGGTAGTAGATGAAGTGGATGCCGAAGTTGAGCGCCGACGAATGATGGAGGAAGGTGAATGAATGAATGTGCTTTAGCTTTTGCTGAAGACATCAGATTTCAAGATCAAAGGTCTACTAGGAAGGATGTTCTGGTAGAAGCTAGCAAGCTATCTACTAAATCATCTACTGCAGAGTGACAGGAACGCTTCCTATCAACCGAAGGCCTCACAACGAGCTGGCTTGCAAGATCCTACTTCTACGCTGCCCAGAAGGAGTCCTAACGATACCCAAGACTAAACGGCCTCGTCTCCGTGGATGTGGTCGAACATGGGGCTAGAAGAGTTAGCTGTTTCCACATAATTGGGCACTCGCCACGGAAATCCGTGGACTGTCAAGCTGAACCTATATGTAACTTACATACTATACTTTCTCTCGTGGACATAACAATCAAAGTAGACTTGTGAACGCTATTTCAAAACTCAACTGACAAAAACAGCTGGGTAAACTGTTGATCATAACTGAAGGACATAGATGCGTCCATCCTACTCCATATGCTCCGCTCGAGAGAAAACCTCAATTGCCTGGTGATTTCGTCCTCCGATACTCGCTCCACATTCAGGACATTTCGCTAGCTGCATCAGCATGTCACGTTCGCCAATGGCAAACTGAATAAAAACAGAACCGGCTAGCTGCGCATATCGTTAAGAGGAATACCTCGAATATTTAGCAAATTCAACCCACAGGATGTCCGTTGATACAATTGTACCAGTGCCCAGAGTTAGTCGCCATGCCTCCTCGCCCGCCAACCATGGCAATCTTGATGGGTGCGAGCTCCTCTGGTGTCACCTCTTTGTATCTAGTATCTTCAACTAGACGATTCATTTCCCGAACCCTCTCTTGAAGATTCTCACAATTGCTCAATTTATCACAGAGATGCAAAGATTCGGCAAGGAGCTCACGTGCCATTTTCCTGCGCTCATCACGCGATTCTAACCCAGTGCTTTTCCGTCACTTTTGAGCAAATTTACCTTTCTGGCACCATCCGAGCAGTTCGGATATGTTAGCAAACGCAAAGGCTGCCGTTATGACAATACGGAAGAGGCTCCCGCCCTTGGCTTGGATGATCAAGTCCCGACAGTCCTCCAAAAATGGTATCGTGGGCTGATTCAGCTTAACAATAAGGATTTTCTCCTCAATCTTTGCGTTTAAATGCAATAGCCTAAACTTATCCGGAAGAACGAATTCTCGGACCTTGATAGAGATCAATCATGCCCCGAGAGTTATCTAGTTGTCAGGTCCTGCAGTTGATATTCTCAATCTTTCAGTTTGGCTGGAGACGGAGGCACCTTCGCCATTTGATGGTTTCTGGCATAAAGTAATGGCATCCTTGAGCCGCTTCGCCGGCTGGTGCTCTTCATCCATCAGTTTACTGAGCGCTGCAGCTTCCTTTGCAAGGTCGACAAAGGCCCCGTATCGTGCGTTGATCTATGCCTTGGTAACGCTGATCGGCTGCACCATCGTCTCTTTGGAAAGAGATGCGTCAGTGATAGTTCTCAGGCGAGAATCAGGTGTTTCAAGGTCGAGGCGTCCTTTCGGTAAGAATCGCTTACATACTTCGTCCATAACAGCTCGATTAATGACATGATTGTATTATTTTAACTCTTCATACATGATACAAAACCTTTTATATGCCCAAGTCATATCTTCCCTTCTAGCCAGAAGAAATAGATATTTCAAAAGAAATGAAAGGACGTTGAGCTAGAACAGTTTGTTGAGTGAAGACACTGGAAGCGGAGTGAGTTGTGTCTTCATACAGCGGTCTTATCTTCCAATATATGTATATGTAAGAAAGAAGTCACTAGATCATATTGCATGCTAGCTCTACTTTCGGTCTAAGACTACGTAGGCATCCAACAGAAGGCTATGACTTCGGGATATATAGCTCTTCGGTCATAGATCACGATAAGAAGAAACAACATATGTTTTCTTATATGTTGTGACATGTTAATACAATATATATGTCATTTCAGCCTATATCGATAAATAATGTATATATACATCTTTCTATCATTTCAGCTAAACAAAATAAGGTACATGGTTTCTATCACGTGCGACCATATTTAAAATGACGCTCACCCGTGGACGCGGGGCGGATCATGTGCTCCACCGCTTATCATTTACCTCCCCGCCGCTTCTTTTGTATCTCTTTCTTCATCCTCACTTGTGAAACACAATGAATATCCTACACTCTACACTGTCAACATGGCGGGACCGCCTGGCCCCGGTCTCACGCACTTCCACCTTCCGCAACACCGGCCAAATCACCCCAGAGGAGTTTGTTCTCGCCGGAGATTATCTAGTTTACAAGTTCCCCACATGGTCATGGGCCGACGCATCAAGTCCGGCAAAGCGTGTATCCTACCTTCCAGACGGCAAGCAGTTCTTGGTCACTCGCGGAGTACCCTGTCATCGACGACTAAACGACAACTTTGCCGGAGATGCAGGGCTCGAGGATGAGATTGTGAGGGATTTCCTTTCGGGCGGCGATGGTGGTGAAGGCACAGCAGCCGACGATGGAGGGGACGGGTGGTTACGGACTGGCGGTGGCCGCGACGCTGGTGCAGACCGTGAGAAACAAGAAGCTCGGATTCGCGACGTGCGAACTGTCGATGAATCGGGCAATCTGGGCGAGCAGGAGGATGATGATGACATCCCCGATATGGAGGATGAAGACGATGATGAGGAAGCCATCATCCGAGAAACAGATGATCAGTCAGGGACACAGTGAGTGCTATTTTCCTGTCTTCGGTTTCACCCTTTTCTCTATTCTAACCTTGTCATTGCTCCAGATCTCTCCGCACTTACACCCTTTACATCACTTACTCCAACTTCTACCGCACACCCCGCCTCTATTTGTCCGGCTATTTGTCGCCATCCGAACCGCTTCCACCACATCTAATGATGGAGGATATCGTTGGCGACTACAAAGATAAGACCGTAACGCTAGAGGACTTCCCTTGGTTTGAGGGCAGCGTCAAGATGGCTAGTGTACACCCATGCCGCCATGCCTCTGTGATGAAGACACTTTTGGATCGTGCCGAAGCCGCACTCAAGCTTCGCCGCGACAAGCTCAAGCAGACACAGTCCCGCGAGGAAGCGAACCGTCTTCTCCGGGCAGGCGGCGGGTTGGAGGGCTTGGTGGATGGAACACAAAATCTGTCTCTCGGGGACTCCCACCACGCACAGCCTGGTGGGGACGAGTGGGAGATGCTGCAACACGATGAGGAAGAACAGGTCGCCATCCGGGTAGACCAATACCTGGTTGTGTTCCTCAAGTTTATTGCTAGTGTGACGCCGGGCATCGAGCACGACTTTACAATGGGAGTATAATTTCTTTGGATTGGATCCAGACTCGTCTGATCTGATTCTTACTCCCTAGGCAGCTATAATCCGCCAAATTAGATTGGATGATAGCTGACATCTGGTGACCTGCTCCCTGATCGAATCTCGAAATGTGATATGCATGACATGACATGAGCTTGGCGTTAATCTGTTGTTGGACGCACGGATAATTTCCTTTTCCCCTTCGTGGGCTACTTTTGCTTTGTATTATCTTCGCTAGCTTTATCGAGTTTCCGGTGGCAAATCTACTACAATATCTGAAGATTTGAGAGTAGACATCCATATGGCATTGCAAGATCATAACCCTAGCGTCCCCGAAGTAAGAACACAGACCGAGTTCACTGTGTTAAAGGTTGAATTATGTACTAATTTTGTGCCCGATTCTCCGGTACACAAATGCGTTAATGACAATAGCAAAAGGGTATTTGACAACCTGAAATATCTAATGATACTGTTTGAATCACATATTTGTCGGTATGGAGAAGTCACCGTTCAGTGGATATAGATACGGCTGGTACAACCCCTAGGTGCTTTTAAAAACATAGGCATGTTCGATATGTGACGACAAATTACTAGATCAGCAATATATCTAGGTTTTGGCATTGATAGTCATGTCCAGCCCCGATTTCAAGACATCATATGTGGTGGAACCTACGTAGTGGGGTCCGGCAAGAGAGGAGGGAGAGAGTTGTATTGTCAAGAGGAGCGAGCTCCCAAACTATCTAACGAGGGTTGATGCCTGAGGCACCAAGGCTCCGACCACCACAACAATATGCATGGAGTCAGCGTCGACGAATTAAAGGAAAACCACTGTTAAAAGCTTGTGCAGAAATAGACAGTTCAAGAGACAAACATGGCGAATAGCCACTTTCCAATATGACGAAGAAAAAGCTGGTTTGGGAATAGTAATCACATACCTACCCCCCGTGGCGAGCGCATTTGGCTGTGTTTTAATGAGACCTCGTGTCCCTTGCTCCTTGAGTCCCATGGCTGAAGGTTTCTGGGGGTGTTGATCAGATGAGCCTTTGTAGTAGTTTCATTTTTATTGCAATGATGTTGTAATGATTTGAAGCTACAGGAAAAAGAAAAGAGATGATAGGTTACTCGCGAGGTTCTACTTTGATTTGATTTTTGCAGGTCCATGCGTGGAAGTACCATTTGGAGGCCGATTCCGCGATAGACAACAATTCCACCGTTAAAGATCCCTAACCTCTCAGACTGACTTTTTTTGGCTTCCTACTTTGTTTCTTCTGCTCATCGAGCGTCAGTTTGCCTACCAACTTGTAGGGTAATCAGACCGGCGGGTTGAATGCCCAATATATAATATCATGAGTTAGGGTTATCCTGCAACATATATATATCCCCATCATAGTAACCAGGTACGTGCTTTATGAACTTATACTGCAATACTTTCTATATACACATTAACATCATATGTTTTCATTTAGACTTCCGAGTATTATCTAGAATCTGATATGCATATATGAGTCAAAAACCATGGCAAGAATACCCACAGCAAGGTAGGTCCCATTCTGGTTATAACCCAATTTTTAACAGTTCTTTCTTCGGGTATACCAGTCTTGACCATAACGCGAAGTAGTACAGGTAGAACACTACATGCGTTGGATGATGTTGAAGTAGATGGATTCAATCTTCGTTTGACGAAACTGAAGGCTACGATCTACTAATACTGGAAAATTTATAGTACCTCAGAGTAATATATTCGAACTGAGAGTAATAGAATCAAAAGCCACAAGTAACAAGTAACAAACCACATAAGTACGCCGAATTGTGCAGAGCACGCGCGGACGCGCAAAGTGAACAACCATCTGCAACAGTAGCCAGACAAGAGCCAAACAAAAGTAAATAATAAAGATCGGCCCTCATAAATGAGCACAGAAGATACAGGTAATCTGGGGGTGAGTACACCAGCCAACAAAGACAACAGTAGGACAAAAAGTAGACAAGGAAGAATATAAGTGTGAAAAACAAGAGATACACAGGTCCGATCAATCATTAGATAAACCATCCAGGTCCCTAACAGGTGGATGATCTATCCAGTTCGTTTCCGCCATTTTTCATCATATTCAGTAAATGTAGAAGGTAAATCTAGGACTTTACTGGAAGAAAGCCAGGATAACGGGAAGAGCCACAGCGAGGACAGATCCGGGAACCAGAGATGAACCGGCGTTGAAGACAGGCACGGAAGGCACAGCGGAAGGCGAGGCCGATGCAGTGGGTGCGGCGTGGGGGATCAGAGGGGTAGAGTGCACGCTAGGGACGGCAGGTGCCCATGCGGCTGGGGCGGTGGTGAGGGGGACAGAGATTGGGGTGGTGAAGGTAGGAGGGAGGATGGCAGTGACGGCGGCCTCGGTAGTAGGAACAACAGTCTCGGTGGTAGGAGGAATAACCTCGTTGGGAGGGCTGACGGTTGTAGTGGGCACAACAACAACGGGAGGGGGGTTGACAGTGGTGGCGGGCACGACAACAGGGGCAGGAGGCTCAGGGCAAGGGTAGCCACCTTCGTGGTGGTGCACGCCTTGTCCGAGGTTGGCACTCGGGCCGCCGGGGATACCAGCAGACATACCGGCACCGGCGCTCCAGTCATCGCCTGAGTTAGGGCCGCAGGGGCCGCGGTGGATGTCGTGGAATCCGGCGCCCATATTCGCGTAAGGACCACCAGGGATGCCGGCGCTGATGCCGCTGCCGGCGGAGGTCTCGCTGTTACCTGGGCCCTGGCTGGCGGTCTCGGGGCCGTGGTTGCTGATATCCGGGGTTGAGAGACCAGGCAGCTGGGGAGCGGAGAGCACGTTGGCAGGGCCGAGAGCAAGGACAAGGCACATCAGGCCGGAGAAGTTGATAGAAGTGGAGACCATTTTTGCGGTAGTTGGTTGGTGTTGTTTGTTTGGGATAGAGGAAGATTAGAGGTTGTTAATTAGATTAATCCGAAGATTGAAAAAGATAACCTGCGAGAATCGAATAACTGAAAGAGTGTTGGAACAAAGGCAGAATGAATGACTGGAGACTGTGATGCTTGATGAAAAATAAAAGAACAGACGTGAACAATGATCCTTATGTACCTTTTGGCATCCCTACAAAGTATACGTTGAAAGAGTATCTTGGAGAGCCAAGGGCTCTATCCAGGGCCAGATAGGACCAGATAGGGAAGGTTTCTGCAAGGCACGAACTAGTTCTTGGTCGAACTCATCTAAAAAAAAGCCACAAGGTAGCGATCTGCAAGGCACAAAGTCAACGGCAGGTACCGAGGAAAGAAATTATCAGAGACATCAGGTCTTAGGGGGTCTAGAACCAAGTAATTGGTGGAAATTAAAGCATCCAAGCTACATAGTTCGATAGTAAGGAGCTACAGCTCCATCTAGAGATCAGATGTGCCCTGGGCCACCAGCGTAAGGTCTATGCACGAGCCAGAGCCCGGGCCCCCGGGCTGTCGTAGCCCAGCTAGGACAGGATTGGCGGGATTTTCCTGTATGGGAGACATATGGAGTGCTTGGGAGAATAGGAACACACGTGTGGCCGAATGGGGAAGAAAGGTTGTATGGATGCAAGGGATAGTAGCCAATAAGACATAGAGGCACTAGTATCCCTCTCCGCAAGAGACTTTCGAAGGTACCAATCAGGATATTGGATTAAGATTGCGTGCATATACATCACACGCAAGGAACTCCAACACAGGTAAGTCCAAACACAGCTTGCGAGGGCTGTTGCCTGTCAAGCAGCTCAGAAACCAAGACTGCCCCGAAAAAAATCAGAAACAGTTGAAACAAATGAGGTTATATTGCACATATCAGCATAGATCGTAATCTCGTAAGGTATTTCGCCAAAAGGGAGGAAGAAGACAGAAAAGGCTACGGCATCAAGAGCATATGCTGCTCCATAAAAAGAGAGAACACAGAAATCCACAATAGACATAGTAGACATAGTAGACTCTATCACACACAGATCACAAAGATCCAAGATAGATGAGAAATATATGTTTCCTTAAACTTGACCTGGGTTCGATATTCCAAACGCAGTACCAAAATTAGTTGATTGCTTGAACCTCATTTCAGGTTCCTTCTCGTCTTGGCGAGGGAACTCAGACTCGGAATCACTCTCATTGGGATCAGCCGATTCAACTGAGCTGCCCAGAATGTTCTTTGCTTGAACAAGCAGTTTCTGATCCAATTCATTCAAAAAATTGGAGTCATGCTCCTCATCATTTATCAGCCCGAGGGGCCCCGTGAGAGCGGGGTCGTCTGGCACATCTGGAAAGTAGGAGATCTTATTTTCGGAGGGTTGATGAACGTTCGTTGTCACGGGCGAAAGAGGACCCTCTTCGGTCTGAGAGGCAATCTCGATTGGAGACCCTTCCTGTGTAGACCGCCGACTATCATCACCTTCGATGATCGCCATCGGGGTGTGACCTGCATGGCGAAGCAAGTTCTCATTGGGCGGGCCGAGCTCTGACAGCTTCAGTTTGAGACTGCTTCGATGTTCTATGTGAGGCCTTGCAGCGGTCGAAGGGGCAGTTCCAGGGGATGTTAGGGGTGATGGGGAGGGTGGGGTGATCACTCGAGCTACCACGGCAGGCGGCAAGGCCGTGGACTTGAGCGTGATGCCATCCAGAGTGCTGTCAAGCTTTTCGATCGGCACCGGCAGACTTACAGGTCCCCCAGAAGGGTCTGCTAGTTGCGACTGGGGTGAAAGGGCCCGATCCAGGGATGGCGGGTTCAGCCCACTTTCGGAGATTGGCGATAGATGTTGGTCTGGAGATTCATGATCGAAGAACACCCTTGTTGGCCGATTTCCCGGGCTTGTCCCCTCCCACACCTGAGCAGCTGCGAGGCCATTTGTGTTATACTGCGATACTCCGCCTGCAAGCACAAGCTTGGCCGCTTCCGATCCCAATCGATTTGTTTGGTTCCCCTGACTTTTCACAAACACCTCTAGCTCGGCGATTTTCGATCGCAATATCGCCCGCTCTTTCTCCCACAACCGTCGCTCCTGCGCAAACAATGCTCTCTCCGTCTCGAAGTTCACCCGCTGGCTCTGGAGGAGGGCTCGTGATTGGTCGATATAGGAGGTATCCATGGTGAACGAGTTCACCAAGGCGGAGTCTTGGCATACGGTTCGGCCGTCGCCTGAAATGACAGGAAATGTGGCTGAAACAGATTTTGTGCGACGGATAGGTGTTTCGGTTGGAGAGAAGCGTACTTCTTTGTAGAGACTTCCGTGACCGTCTAGTAAATTGGTAGGCTTCATGTCTGAGATTTGTTTTTCTCACGATAATCGCAAATCGGCAGATAAGGATATATTAGGGAACACCCGTGATAATAATATGATAGTCACGATAGTGCCCAACCAAAGCTTTGTTTGTCCACGTCAAGACCAGTGGAGTTCCTAGAAGCGGTCAATGAGCTCAGCGCATTTCCATCTAATGCCGGGATTATGCGACCTTCCCAATATGGTGCATTCCAAGTCTCACGGATGAATGGGTGTAGGTTAGGCAGATTTTAGGATTTGGGTAGCTTTAAGGTACGAAGAATGAAAAAGTAGAAAATCAGTTAAATATGAAATTTGTGAATATCCCCACAAAGTCCGGGGGGAAATGAGGAGGTCACATAGGAAAACAAGATGGAATTCCAAAAAAGAAATTCTATGAACATCCGAGACGTGTCTGATCACAGCTTATGACGTCAAAGGGCTCTAATAGGAAATGTCATTAATAAGACGTAAAAGCTCAAAGGTATCTGGAAGTGGTATTGTTTTGAGTGTATATCATACTATATAGATCTATATCAAGGGGAAAGTAACCATCTAATACAGCTGTATACAACATAAGAACATTTGAACAGAACGCAATATATCCGATCTCTAGAAATCACCCTGTACTGAATTAGTGGAATATATAAGAATGGAGAGAGTCAAAACGCAGCCCGAACGCCCTAATCCCGCCATTTGCGCCAAAGATGTGCACCTGCAGTTGACTGGTATAATCGGCGCTCAGACGTTATGACACAGAGCTGACAAAGCTAGCCTATCAGACCACAAAGGCGAACGAGAGCCGAAGGTCTGCAACGCTGAAGATGCATACAATATAAAAAAAAAGATAGAAAAGAAAAAGAAAAGAAAAGGTAAAAGTAAAGGGAAACACCTCAGCAAACAGATGACGTGGGCCGAAGCTGGCTTGGCGTAACCAATTGCTTCTGGAAATCCAAAGACCAAGCAGAACATCCCTTAATAGATCGACGATCATCCGATTGTCTCAGCAGCAAGCAACTCCGCCACACAAACTGCTGAGCCTCATCAAGTAGATAGTGATCACCATTTGGCAGCGGATAGAAGCTCACATCCTTGCACAAGGCGCCGAACCGCGTGGCAAGATCGAACACCCCTCGGGCCGTGAGATCCCGACCACCCACGTTTGCAGATGGATAATAGTAGCGCGGATCGAGATAAAGCAGCACGCTATTCCACCGCGGAAGCTTCTCGGACAGAAGCCGTGCCGCGGTCTCGTATTGTTTCAACGTGCGCTTCGGCACACCGGTTTGCGTGTGCACGAAGAAGAAGACCTCAAAGCCGACGCTACGGATGCGGGCGCGGGCGGTTGCGCTAAGCGTGTTGAGGAAATCGGCTAGTCGGTCGAGATTGAAGGAGTTGCGGAGGAAGAGGGTGTGCGTTGAATAGAGGTAGTCTTCGGCTTCGTCATGGAGTTGGCGGTTCACCGCTAGTAATTTGCGTGCGGTGCCATCTTCGCCTACCCAGTGAGGACTCATTGATAATGCTCGATATTGGCCGCGGGCTGTGAAGGTTTTGCCATGATCACCTAGTACAATCATCGGTTTGCTGACTAGGTACTCGTTTGGGACGACTAGTGCATATTCGTAGATCTTGAGACGGAGTTCGGCTGGGAGTTGGAGGAGCCGTGATGATACTGACGTGCGAGTGAGGTTTGGCTTCATATTTTCATTATAAGAGATGGCAATGGTGAAATGTCGAGTTTCAGAATGCGGCTATTAATTATTAGAATTATGTTTTAAGAGGCAGTGGTACCACTCGGGTGTAGACGCTACATAGATGTGTCGCCACCGTCAGAATTTTCCAATTGGAGACGGAAAACGTCAATGCTGAACAAAAATAGAGGCCTATAAATGACCTTGCATAACATGAAATGTAAAGCACCACACGATGTCGACCCACTAGAAGTACATAGTATCTGATCAGCCCCTAGATCTACATATACTTCACCGTATGCTAGAAAAAGGCTCGGCAAATGCTCAAAGTCATTAAATCATTACATTAAGGTTATCTCCAATGACCCGTTCCTGGATCCTTCCATGGATGTATGTTGCTTGGAGATGTGCGATCTTGCCCAAGACCCACGTATTAGTGGATCACGAAGTCTGGACAACCTTGGAAGCTATATACTCCAATACACAGAGACGTCATCACATACATCTAGCCAATCTTTAATGCTGTCACTTTGAAATCTAGACTGCTCTACCCCTGTTCTATAGTAAATATTTGCCAGGAAAAGGTGTCCTATTAGCCCAAGAACTATATTGGAACCAATCAAATTATCCAATTCAAGTAAAAAAAAAATCCGAGTCTCCAAGAATGCAAGATGCGATATGTTCACCATGGAAAACTGTCCGAAAATAGTAGGAACAATGAAGTTCCGTACTTGATCAGCGCTGTCTATAAACACCCAGCGACCAAGCTGCCCGCAGAACAGCCAGACCCCAGGCCATGCCAATACTATCTCGTAAGACATTCAGTTTGCTACCCTTGACTTCTCTCCACCCCACGGGCACTTCAGCCACAGGAATCCGTGCGAACTCGGCCAGCATGAGCATCTCAACATCGAAGATCCAGC